TTATAAATTACATTACCTTTTCGAATATATCGAATGTTGTATAAACTGAGCTAAATCATATTAACGTTTTAATAAACCACCTTTATTGATTGAATTTACGTTGATTTCATACATTCGCTGGGGATTCCCAAATAGGTATTAGCTAAACCATTGTCTACCGAGTGAAAATTTCACTTACAACGCGTATGTTGTATTAAAAGCATTATCTATACCCTGCTGGAAAATGAACAATGCATGCACGTGAGATTCGGTTCCCCGAGATGTCGTTCTTGTTCGTAACTCCCTGGTTATAATACCGTTATAACATGGAGGATAAATATATCTTCCATGGTTATCATTAATTCATAAAATTTGTTGTTAACATCACAATTTCAATTTTTGTAAGTCAACAAAATATAGTAGGCCTAGGCCTAAATACATCTCTTGATTTGGAGGACCTACAGAATTTACACTAGACTAGGGCGAGATGAAGATGCATCTGCATATTAGCCTAGGAAAATAATGTGAGTAAACAACTGTAGCCGTGCGCAGTCTTTATAACTGAAATATCTTTGTGATAGTTAAGACTATTCATTTGAAGACAAAATTTCAACATTTGAACATCTTTTATAACACTCTAAAAGTCGTAATTTTCTTTCTTGTTTTTTCATACGTAGGGAGGGGGACGCCATCAATTTAGGCAGATATATAAACTCAGTGATATATGTACCGTGTAGTTTTTATCTCCAATAATATCTTCTTAGGTATTGTGATTGCAACTGTCCCAGTCTACCTGTCAGAAATATCACCTGTTTGGTTTCGTGGAGGAATCACGTCTTTCCACCAACTAGGCGTTTCATTCGGTCTTTTACTGGGACAGGTAGGTATGCTATGCAATGTATATAATCAATCATCCTCGCAAGTTCGAATAAAGGAGGCATTGAAGCTTTGCGATTTAAATCGAATACAGATGCGAGTACAATTCACCTTATTATAATACATTCAGGTTTTAGGACTTTATGCATTCTATTCGGAGGAAAAGTGGCAGTTCGCACTCTTTATGCCGTTGATCATTAACTGGGTGGGAGGTTGCGTGCTGTATTTTTGTCCTGAAAGCCCAAGATGGATTTTACTGAACCAATCAAAACCAAGTAGAGCACAGGCAGGTAAGTATGGGCTTATACTAATTATTATGCCATCATGCCCCTTTGTTTCAAATAGATTTGATGACACAACAAATAGTTATACTTTTTTTGTGACGATGCAAATTGTTATACTAATGCGTATGGACTCTCCAATTGAATGATTGATTGATTGATTGATTGATTGATTGATTGATTGATTGATTGATTGATTGATTGATTGATTGATTGATTGATTGACCAACCGACCGACCGACTGATTGACTGAATGTCTGAATGGATGTTTGTTGGCTAGTGGTCCGAAATAATTGAAAAGCACATGACTGATTCACATATCTATTGCAGTTTCACATTGTACAATTCGTATAAAAATATGCTTGTTTGTTTTCACTTTAGATGAATCAACACTTTTACTGGAGGAGGATATTCACAAGGTTGCATCTAGGAAAGGTTGGATTTTTTTTTCAGAATGATTTACTATTCTTTTCACATACCTCTTACACTTCAGTCGGATATTGGAACCAAAGTGACATATTGAAGTGTCTGGCGCCCTCTATTTAAGATATAGCATATGCAAAGCTAGCGCTATGATGCAAAGATCTTTGTTGTATGTACATTATTTTAGTCATCATTTCTACATTTATCTGTTACGAAATATACACATAACCGCATGTGAGTGTCATTTAGGCTTATGCTCGCGTATTATTTGATATAGGCCTATCATTAATCACGTTATATGTTATGATATAATTAATTAAACAACATAAAGTACAGTAAATGGATACCTCACCAATCAAGATGGCGACGTAAGTTTCAAGTTTGAGCTTTACATACTGTAATCTGTATTTCTCTTATAAAGCCTGTTTCTATAAAATGGCTACACTGTTTGCTACATTGTTTTCACTGCAATCGTTACATTACGTAGCTCTCGCAGGCGCGAGTCAAATTCCCCGATTCTACCGACCATCAACGTCGCCGAAAGTTGTTAGCGGTGCGCGTACCGATTTTATAAAAACCATGCTTAACTTTAGTCTGTGATTTGAAGCTTTGGTGAAACTGCGTGGTACACTGAACGTAGAAGGTGAGATTGCTGAGATGTTAATGGAACGTTCTTTGATGGAAGGCAGCATCGGAGATAGAGTCGACGTCATCGATTTGATTACATTGAAGAATCCAGTCTGGAAGTGGCCACTTATCATTTCCATTGTATTAATATCGAATCAGCAGTTGGGAGGAATAAACGCTGTAAGTTTAATTGTATTTAAAAATGATAATAATAATAATAATAAATATGCTATAACTATTATTAAAATTACAGTTATAATTGTGATGCTAATGATGCTAATGATAATGCTAATGAAAGTAATAATAATAATAATGCTAATGATAATTATGATAATATTGATAATATCAATATTGATGTACATTGACATTCATATTCATATTGACATTGATATTCATAACCATAATCATTTTAATAATATTATTGTCAACCAGTGACGCTACGGGGGGGGGGGGGGGGGGGGGGGGGTGCTAAAAGAGGCTACAGCCCTTCCCCTCCCCCCACCCCTCCGGTCGGGGAAGCTAGGAGAGATTCGTCGGGGGATAAAATAAAAATAATTAAAAAGAAATATCTTTCAGGACAAGATTCCTCTATGAGCGTCTAGCGGCTTCTTATTTTTCAATGGGTACAAAGGGCGCTATTTTAGGTCAGTTAGGTGAAAATCCTAGCTCCGCCACTGTTGTCAACCCTTCACAACGAGGGTCGCAAGCAACTGCAGAAAATGTGGATTCAAATCATTTTATTTACATACCAAACTTAATTAGTGTTTTGTTTGATTTGAATTTATTCTGAGAAACACCTGAATACTACAAAATATGAAGACAAAACTTTAGGATGTAAATTAAATAGATATGAAAACAAGATATTCCTGGATAACCCAAACAAGCTGTGTGAACTTCTTTCCATTGGGGTCTATATAATCCTAATATAAATAATCTAAATTAATTATACAAATATTTCAATCAGTTAAATACGCAATAAAACAATTGAATTTACAATTACAGTATTTAAAATACCAATAAGTATATAAAATCTAACTAAAATAGTGAATGTAAAAAACTTATATTACCTATCTTAAAAAATAAAAACCTTTAAGTTTCATTTTAAAATTTACTATATTATATATATATATTTGTATATCATGAGGAAGGTTATTCCATTCCGTTATACAATAAAATGTATTACAAATCTGTCCATTTGATCTTGGAACAGAAAACGGATAGGTGGTTTCTAGCAATGCCGTAGCCAGCTACTGGGACAGTTGGGACAGTCCCATACATTTTTTCAAATGGGTCCACAAAGAATGGGTCCACATCATTAAAAATTGGTCCAAATTATGTAATTTTATGTATATAAAATTGGTCCACTTTTTGAAAAATGGGTCCAGATTTCTCATATTTAGTTTAAAATGGGTAAAATTTAAGAAAATGGGTCCAGATTTGTTTATGTTTTTGCGTAAAATGGGTCCACATTGTTTGAATTTACGCGTAAAGTGGGTCCGCCCTGATATTGTCCCGCAATGTTTGAAAATTCTGGCTACGGCATTATTTTCTAGTATTATATTGATGACGACTTGAGGGAACTCATACAAAATTATTCTTCATATAAGGCACTGATGTTCCATAATATATCTTATAAACACGATTTAGTTTCAGTTGACATATATCCTCTATACATAATTGGCCGATTTCGTTTAGTTAATATTTGCCAGTATGACGTGTCCTATTAGGTTTATTTAAAATAAATCTGGCAACTTTATACGCGTTTAGAGAATTGGTTTAACAATAGTTTAGAAGATTGCAGTAATATTTCATCTAGACTTGCGATATGTATGTTCTCACCTTCTATTATGTTAATTTATGTAAGTTTATTATCTATAGATTTTCTAATGATATGGTCTTGTATCACTTTAAACTATTTGTGGTTATATAAATTAAATTTACATTTGATTGATATGCGTAACTAGCTTAATTAATGCACGATAAAATCCGCCCCATGAGATTAACACAATAATAATTATTTATCATAATTATTCCAACTTTAACGTCGGTTGATATCATATCGTAATTACACCGAAAGCTTATTATCACCATTACAATTGTATTGCTTTCTGATCGTTTTTTGTTAACTGTTTTGTACAATTTTACATCTCTCTCGGGGGTTTACATAATTAAATGAACAAAATAAAATAAAATTCTGAATACATACTCTTTAGTAATTCTTATACCATTAGTGAACTCTAAACTTCTTCTTGGGCGGATGCAAGGAGGGGGGTGGGTGGGTGTGCAGAAGGTGCGATCGCACCCCCCCCCCCCCCTAAATTGTACTAAGAAAAAGAATTGTTATATTGTACTGTTGATGTGCAATTTCCGGGCACATAGAGGTCCATATTTAAACAATTTTCAAACCTTGGCCAGAACCATGGTGGGCTGAGTTAGTGTGGACTTTCACACTGCCAAATCCTGCATCCGATCCGCCACAGCCCTTCACAAAGATGGTTGCAAGAAACAGTAAAACGTGTGGTTCTTTTCTACAATGCTGTTAATTTATGCATGCTGTATGTATATATTTATAGATTATGTACTATACAACTGAGGTATTTACAGAAGCGAACCTAAATGAGGACACGGTCAGATTAGCAACCGTTGGGACCGGAGTTATTACGGTCGTCATGGCAGCTGTAACAGTAAGTATACTCATACATTAATGACATGTTTGCGATACGTTATGTTATAGGCACCTGAAAAAAACATCGATTTTTTTTTATGCCTTCCTACGTTGGGCACCTATTTTTTCACACTCGCAGATTCCTCGTCTTTACATGACGTACATAGTTCTGAAAAAAATTTCAATATACAATTATCCAATATACAAGGATACTCTGAAATACTGTCATTTTTTATCATAAACGTTTAGGTGTTGAACGTTGACAGACTTGGTCGTCGATTTTTCTTGATGTCTTCTTATTCCGTAATGGCTGTCGCTGCTCTTTTTCTTTCAATTTCCCTTACGTCATCGGTGAGTTTATAATGATTGTGCATGCATATTCAGGGAAAGAGGAAAACCGATGGGGAAGTAATTCCAAAGCTTACAGGGTATTTTCAATTGCATTCGTTTTTCAGTAAAATTAAACCAGCGTCATCTCTCATTTGTCATCTCTTTCCTTTCGATAATGACAACATAGGCCTGGTTATATTTTGCACATTCATTTAATTTTGGTCACGAAGATGTATTTTGCTTTAATTTATAGAAAACGGAAATTATCTATTTAATGATTACTTGACACTGCCAGACGTACAAAGTACAGTATGACCTCATACGGGCTATACACAACCAATACTAGAGAAAGTAGCGTAAAATAATCAAAATATACGGAGGCATTATAGAAGAAATAATATCGACTCATCTATTGTATCACTTGTACATGCGTCGACCATATAAATTAGATTTGTTTGATTATTGGTTATTGGTTTTATTTCACTTGAGCAAGACACTTACCTACATTGCTTTTCCCCACCCAGAAGTGTAAATGAGCACCTGGTGGGTATACTGCCCTCTCCTGTACTGATTGCTGCAGCAAAGCTTTAGGTTGTGGACCCAATGACATGGGAAGAAATGCTGAAAAGAAAGGCGCTATAAATAAACAAATAAATGATTGAAATAAAATTAAAATATTGCAATTTTATTCTGCACTTGCAGGGAGAAGCTTGGTCTTATATGTCTATAGTATTTGTCTACTTATTCATATTCGGATTTGCACCTGGGCCAGGTAATTACATGGAACACACTGTATAATAAATATAGGAAGAAGTGGGCAACGATATTTAGAATAATATATTGATAGAAAAATCAAAATGTTGAGCGATAATAAGTGCTATTTATATTATTATTAATTCAAAGTATACCCAAATTAATAATATTGTTCTTGGGAAAGTTTCAGTTTATAAGAATTTGGGTATATTTATTGACTCTTCTTTATTAAAGTTTTGTAAACACGTTGATTTATGGTGGCTATGAGTAAGAGTACTTGGTTTCATTTGGAGACATTGCAGGCACGTAAATGATAGTAAAGTTTTAGTTATATAGGCTATAAGTTTTGATGTTTTTCATTCAGTTTCTTCCATACAATCCATTAGATTAGAACATATTCAAAATAAATTGTATAAATTATTATTTCTTATTGAAAGACGCAATTTATTTGATTTAATTTTTTTATAAATATATAAATTAAATTTATGATGGAAATTTTATTTCATGTTTTCGACTTTCTGTTTCAACGTATAAGAAATTCATTGTTATTTTTTGTTCCACCTGGAAGAGTACTTATTAAAATGGGTTTATTTTTTCGTCTGTTTAAGTTATATAATGCCATTTTCCTTTCAAATCCATCTGTTGATATTTTTTGAGATAGTATTTTATTATTTACGTCATAAAATTATTGTTACATATATTTGCATTTAGTTTTTGTTTTATTATCTATTTATATCTATTATATATTTATTATATTATTATTATTATTATTATTATTATTATTATTATTATTATTATTATTATTATTATTATTATTATTTGGGGTTAACTGTAATGTGTTATTCTTTGGAGTTTATTTTTTTTTCCTATTATGTTTTAGATTATGATGTTAATATTAGGTACTGTGCTATGTCATATCCTGTTATGGGCGACTATGTTATGTCATATTCGTATGACATAACATAGTCATGTCGCCGTTGGATTTTGGTGAAATAAAATTAAAAAATAAAAATAAAACAAAACGAAAACATAATATGCAATTAAGCCTTACTGTACGCATACTGTACGCGTAATTGAAAGTAATTATGATGTTATATTTATAATTTAAATATATGTTGAATTGTTCTTAAAGGTGCAATGACTTTTGTAGTGATACCGGAGCTGTGGACACAAGGGCCTAGACCTACAGCTATGTCTTTCACAGGACATTTCAACTGGTGGACAAATTTCACTGTCGGACTTGCGTTTCCTTTTATGCTGGTAGTACTTTGATATGCATCTTAATTATTTGAATATCATCATCATCATCATCATCATCATCATCATCATCATCATCATTATCATCATCATTATCGTAACCGTTATCATTAGTAGTCATTATAAACAATAATATCATGCGACCTCACTTCACGCTTATATATTTCAGAATGCAATGGGTGGATATTCATTCCTCATCTTCACTATCATCCTAGTATTAACTGTCTTGTTTACTTATTGCATCGTACCTGAAACAAAGAACAAGACGTTTACCGAGATCGTATCTAGTTTCCGTCAAAACAGATTGACGTCATCGAGGAAGGACTTTATCGAAGACAACACTGAACAGTAATAACATAAATGTATTAGCCAAAAGTTATTTTTATATACATATTAAATATGTAAATGTTTTGTTTATGTATATAATACAGGGACGTAGCCAGGGGCGCCCCACCCCTCCTTTGTACACAGTGTTAGTATTTTAAAGCTTGTTTTTGCTAGCCAAAACAAATTATTTCCTGGAATCTCTCAAAATAAATTACTTTTAAAATATATAAATATGCATCAGCACACGTTATACGTATAATACTAGGCCTATAATTATAACACATAGGCCTAAGCTTGAATTGTTTACTCAAGTTAGAAATACAAATAGAGCATGGTTTGTTTTAACTCACTTTTCTGACCTACGTTATGTGATTTTGATAGTCAACCGGGACGACCTGTCACTTTTATGCGATTGCAAATTTTAAAAAAAACAACAACAAAAATTAATTAAAAACAGGGAGTTGGGTGATATTTAAATACTGTACAATTTCTAATTGACTCCTTCTACTATGTTTGTGACCCGTGCTCTAATAGAAACCCGCAATAAATATCTATTAACAAACGATATATAGCGATAATGCAAACAAATGCAATTTTCGGGACTATATATCGGCTTTACAGCCCAAGTGGTACATTTATCAAACTTACTTAACAAAAAAAAATCAGCTTAAATTCGTCTTAAATTCATAAATCCCAGGCCAGGTCTTTTTAGCTCCACACATGTGATGATGTATTCAGTTTAGTTTGTATTCTTTTGCAAGCTTTTATGTTTTGTAGTAATAATAATGATGATGACGATAATGATGGATATAATGATAATAGATACAGTAACAATATTAATAACTCTAAAAAGTGAAGAAAATTGTCATAAAAGCGAAAAATAAATGTGTAATATGTCCAATCATTATAATTATTATTGTAGTTAAAGCTTAGTAAGGTATAGGCCTACGTCCTATATATATATAGGCCCTATATATAAAACATCAAAGAAAGGTAAATACAGTGTTTCGAATAAAGGGCATAATATCGTGTAAAATAGCTCTCAACGAATGTAGTCCTGTAAATCAATGAATAAAGAAGTTGTGTAATAAAATATAGTATATATATATATAATACAAATAAAAGAATAAACAGCTCAACAAAAAATAAATAAGGAAATCTCAAAATTCAACAGACGAAGGATTAATTCCAGCCTACGCAGCTAGTTCGTTCTTAAACAATTGCACTAATGTAGGAATTGGTGACTTTGAAAAAACGTTCTGTTTTAGACTAAATTCAAGTTCGTTTATAGAACTGTTTCTGAGAACTCCAGATGTCTTACGAACAGGAGGAAGCATTTCTCAATATTTGTCTGATGTCATAAATTTTTTACCGAAAGTAAGTAGAATACTTTCATGTCTAACCTTAAAAGACTGAAGATTAAGGTAGCACAGAGCAAGATCATAAGTGATATAATTGGGGCCCATGATGATTCTAAAGGCCCTCTTTTGTATTCGTTCAATTTGATGACTATGATGTTGAGTGATGGCTCCACGCCAAACCGGACATGCATCCCATCTACATATTCTCATCCACTGTCAGCTTCCTACAGAGATGTCATTGACAAGGATGAGAAATAATATGGGTCCCAGTTTGGTTCCCTTTGGGACGCCACATATAATTTCTTTATAAGGAGATGTGCATTGTTTAAACCTAGTATTTATTTTACGATTAGTAAGGAAGCTGCAGATGATAGGGATAGAGATGACCTCACTCCTATATTAATTAACTTATCGACGACCACACTATGATTAACTCGATCAAAACTTTTGAAATATCGATGGCACATAGATTTGCAAAAGTACCAGATGCTTTAAGCCCACTAACAACTGTGTTGATTAAATCAATAAGATAGTGACGTTGAAGAGCCTTTTTTGTCAACCATATTATTTCACATCTAAAGTCCATTAATGTGATCCAAGACACAATAAAAGATTTAAAAATTCTGGCAAATATTAGTGTTAAAGATATGGATCGTTGAAATCCCCTAATAATGAGAATGGGTGTAGAGAGATCATTGGAACGGATTGCATCAATAGTATGTATTAAATGGTAACAAGTCTTCGCCACCACCAGTGGCTGATGGTGGATAATAAATGGCACCAATGAAGTAGTACTAGGAGGTCTTGCCTGAATCGGGGAGAATGAGTTTCCTCCAACAACATTCATAGTCACATGCTTCATGTTCGGCAAAATTATGTACGCTAAATTTATTATTTATGAATAAAGCGACTCCTCCTCCGGTACGTTCGTACCTATTCTTTGCAATGCAATTGAACTTGGGAATGTTAACTAAAGCTTCGGTTCGATTATTCAGCTATGATTCTGTAATAACAGCTACATCGCTACCAAATTTCGTTATCGTTGCTTCAAACTTATCAATCTTATTGTTCAATGATCTTGCGTTTGATAAGAATAACTGAGGGCTCGGGTGAATAACTTATGACTTCGGCTCCAATTGTACAGTGGCGTAGAAAAATATTTTTCATTGGGGGGGGGATGATTGACGTGTTAGCCAGTGTCGTAACAGACGCGGGGGGGGGGTGGGGGTGGGGCAGGGGGAAAACTGCCCCTCCCCTGACGGTTTTTACCGGGCCGACCAAGCCGTCGTACCGGGCCGGGTAATAAGAGAAAAGGAAGAGGGGAGAGGGAGGGAAAGAGAAAGAAGAGGAAAAGAAAAGGAAAGAAAAAGAGAAGAGAAAAATAAAGACAAGAATAAAAAGGAAGATATCATAATGACCAGACTCACAACACCCATGCAACCCCTTCTCCACTTCAAAAACTGTCATAACTCCTTTGATCTATGCTGCCCGATGGCGTAACCACTGGGGGACAAGGAGAAAATATCTATCTTTGAAAAATCTTTCCCCCCCCCCTTTATAAATGCCCTTTCATCCCCTGAAAGTGCCTAAAAACCTCAAATTTCGCGCGCATTTCTTGTTAACATGGCCCAATTTCCTCTAAAAATTGCACATTTTAGGGAGTTTTGATCAATTCCAACGAAATTAGAATTAAATCACCGGAGGACAAGGGGAAAATATCCATCTTTGGAAATCTTTCTCCACTCCTTGACAAATGCATCCTCAGAAAGTGCCTAAAATTCTCAAATTCTTTGCGCGCATTTCCTGTTACGGTAGGACAATTTCCTCTATAAATTGCACATTTTAGATGGTTTTCATCAATTCCGACGAAATTAGAATTAAAAACACAAAAATATTTTGCGCGCTTGGCGCGCATTTTTTAAGGTTTTTTTTTAGTTTTATCCTTTTAAGTTATTTAAACACATAATAGTCCCAAACTCAAGAAAGACAAATTTAAGATAGATCATTTTAACCTAAAAGAAGGGCCTCAATGTGTATANNNATGCTTATATTTAGTTTCAAACACACGTGTGTGGCCTATATTATAAATAAGATAAGCCCTATGTCGTATTGTTTTCTATATGGGGGTGGGGTGGGGTGGGTATGGTAAATTACTTACCGGGAAATGAGGATTGTATGTTATTATTATTATTATTATTATTATTATTATTATGATGATGATGATGATGATGATGATGATGATGTTGTTTGTACTGTTCTTTAATTTTATTAAAGAGGGCACCTGAATTTCAGTTAACCTACTGGGCTAAACTAGAAGGGTTACCCTCTTTAAAGATGGTTGAAATAAAAAATATAAAAAAAATATACCCACTCTGACCCAAGACCACTGTTACGCGCCTGGTGTTAGCGCCAATGTGTGCCCTTGTGCGGACAGGAGATGTGCCCCCCTCTCTGAAGCTGGAAACCTTGTTTTTGCAAAATAAATTGATGCAATTTGCTGTTATAGGCCTAATCAGTAAATTCCTCATCAACCGATATAACCTTAAACATTCTTTGAATTGATATAACATTACTGATGTCGTACACACCCTTCAGTGTGAAATGTGGCTCTCTTTGCAAGCACATCTAACATCTAAGGAAAGAAGAGCTTAGATTGGTACCAGATAAAATAATTTTGTTATCAACATTAATACATTATGCTAATTTTCATCTTTGTAAGCGCATAAGACAGTGCAAATTATTTCTGTGACAGTCTTTTAAAGTGCGTAAAGCTGCATTTTATCCCATACATAGTCAAAATATTGGGGGGATGATACAATGGACCATCCCCCCTTGTTAAATATTGGGGGGGGGGATATCTCCCCTCCATCCCCCCCGGGGTCTACGCCTATGCAATTGTATATCAATTAGCTTATTATTCATAAATTTTCGTTCGTCAGTATATATCTACTTGAATTACGTTTAAATACATTTCGACAGCACTTGTGTTTATTTGCACTTCATTTATTTTTTTTTCATTTTTTTTCATTTCATTTCTTTAGGCACGAGCGCCACTGATATACCAATAAGTGAACTTAATCACTGTCTTACGTGGCATATCCATTTAAACAACATTGAACTTAATGGACCAGTACACTGGGGTAACCCCCTACTCTCCCAGGGTCCCGGATATTTGACGAATTATGGCGAATTTTTATTACTTATTTGATAGGCATCGAGACTTCATGTAGGCAATGTTTTCTAATGTCGAATCAGCTTCCAAAAGCAAAACATTTTGAATAAAACAAGAAACAAAGAGTATGCAATGTAACCATCTAATTTATTTTAAAATCCTCATTCTTGAAAGTGAAATTCTACATTTTGGAAATTTTGCATTTGTCAACGCTGTCAAGGTTGAGTTTGCTTCCCCTATGACGATGTATTCAAAGCATCATGAGGCTCTCCAAACGAGCATTTGTCATAAAAGAACGCAAATTATTTTTAATTAGTCTCATTGAACTGTTATTATTATTATTATTATTATTATTATTATTATTATTATTATTATTATTATTATTATTATTAATAATATTATTATTATTATTATTATTATTATTATTATTATTATTTATTATAATTATAATTATTATTATTATTATTATTATTATTATTATTATTATTATTGTGATAAAAAGTTAAAAATAGTTTAATGAAAGTAAATCATTTTTTTTTATTTGTTTATTCCCCGACAAAATTTACTCGTCCTTACTCGAACCAGTGCCGTAGAGCTGAAGGTTACGGTGCCCCTGACTTAACCGCTCGGACAATC